AAGTTCATGGTGAAGTGCACACCTGAAGAGCAAAGGAGCTAGAGTAGGTTTCATAGTCACGTTGACTATGATTAGCTGGCAGTGGCTGCAGAGAGAATCATCTCAAAGTCTTATTACAACTCTGGGCCAAGTCATTCTCCAAGTTGATTAGCAATGTCTGGCAGGGCAAGAAGTGATGACTAGTACGTAAGTGCCACAAATAATTCATGTTCTTATAGACAGCATAGATTCATGCTCAAGAATGGTTTAACAGGAGAGAGCATCTGCAATCAAGCTACCAAAAGTAAATTCAATGCCAATTTTTTAAAAAAAAATTTACTTATTTATTTGAAAATCAGAGTTATGGAGCGATAAGGAGAGACAAGGGAGAAATCATCCATCTGCTGGTTCATTCCCCAGATGGCCACAACGCCTGGGGCTAGGCCAGGCCCAAGCCAGGAGCCAGGAGTTTCTTCCAGGTCTCCCACGTGGGTGGCAGGGGTCCAGGGATCTGGGTCATCTTCCGCTGCCTTCTCAGGTGCATTAGCAGGGAGCTGGATCAGAGGCGGAGCAGCCGGGACTTGAACTGGCACCCATGTGGGATGCTGGCACTGCAGGCAGCGGCTTAACCCGGTGCACCACAGCAGCAACCCCAATGCCAATATTTTTTAAAGAATTACATTTTCTAGGAAGAAGCTGACTTTTTCTGGAAAACCAACATTCAGTCCACTAACGGATCCCGGTTCAGTGGAAACAGACGTATCACAGTGCTGAGTTCTTCAGCTTTCCAGCAAGTTTGTCAAATCAGATCTCTCCCAGAAGGCTCGTCTGTCTAGCTCTATCTCGGATAGAGAACTCGCAGTGACGTGGAAAGTTGGTCTGAATTCAACATCAGTAGAGAAATGCAGGCAGAGAAAGTCCAGCCTTCACCATCATGCCCAGTGCTCTTTGGCTGTAACTTGGTGAAGAATGTTATAGAACGTTAGTTAAGTCATCCAGGCTTCGTATCTCAAGGTAAGGCAGTAAGTGTGGGAACAAGAACATTGAATTTGACGTACAGAAGAGCTGAGATCTAGCATCCAGTCTAGCACTCTTCCCAGTGCAACTTGGAGCATCACTCAAGTTTCAGCTTCCTCATCTGAAAACCAAAAGCAGGATTTTTGGGCTCCGTGGAGAGGGTCGGTTGTTTGTGTTGGCATCCACTGCCCGTCTTCCTTAGTAAAATACCCTGGGCACATTTTGCATCATTGTTCTCCCTCATATTTAAGCATATCACTTGGGTGAGACTGGAGCTTCCCACTTTCCAGGACCTGAGCCCCTTCAAACAGCTTAAGCCTACCCTTTTGGTGACTCATTAATCAAACAGAAATGTGCAAGCAAGTACTCAACACTGGCTCTATGAATAATAAAATCCATTCTTTTGTAACAAGTGTTAATTCCTATGGCCTAAATACTCCCAGCATAGCTGAATTTGAACTACCAACATAACATCCTTGAACTTGCAGCTTGGATCCATGCAATCAGCTTATCTGAGCTGGCCCTAGCATACCCACCACAGACACAATCCAAATAGAAATAAACCTCAGGCTGGGTGAGCACAGGAATGGAGTCTTTTCCATTTCTCTTGGTTCTTTGCAACTGAAGGTCAGGTCAAGGGGATTTGATTGCTACAAGAAAGGGAGCTTGTATGGAGACCTGGAGACACCCCGGAGAAAGTATGATGAGTTTGGGTCTTCAATCTTGGATTGATTTAGTCTGACGCCATTCTACAAATTCATATTTTTGCTTAAGTAATTTTGAGTCAGGTTTTAGTATACTTTCACCCAAATATAAGCCAATCATGAACTACATGTATCATCAAATTATATTAAAAAGGAAATAAGTTAAGCTTTACATAGCTTTATAGGTTGAAGGTCTTCTTTTTCTGGTAGGTGTTTTCCAAGGAGTATTCCTGCTCTCCCTGTGAACTCCAAGGACCAAGTTCTCCAGCTTTGACCATAATTGTGCTGGAATGAGGAGAGCAAGGTCAGAGGATGTTCTCTTATCACCCCGTTGACAGAGAGATTTTCTTTTAAGAATACGTAACAGAGTTGAATTTGTCACATCAAGTTTCCTTGGATGTCACCATTTAGAGGTTTGCCTGTGGTCTTGAAGGATCATTTTATTGCCATCAGAAATGCCAGGAGCAAAGCAAAACTTCCCACGTGTGACTGCTATAGAATCCCAAGTGACAGTAGGACAGTCGCCTGTATGAAGGGATAGTTCAGTTGCTACCAAGAGTCTGCCTCTCCATGGAGGAGGTGAAGGCATATGGTGAGGCACTCCCTCCTGCCCATACAGGACTGTAGCTAAGAGCCCACCAGGAATCTCAGAGTTTCCACCAGAGGAGCTCCACAGGCAGGCACAAGAGAAATCAAGCGAGCTGCCATCAGTAGTGGCAGGTTCCAAGGAGTCCTTGCTTTTCCTGTAAACTATGGGCTTGATAATTCTCCATCCAACTTCCCTAACTTTATAGTTTATGCTCAAGGCTTGTTTTGATTGCCAAAAGAACCTGAGAGGTGGACAAGAGAGCCATAGGCTTTTCATTAGAGGCACGAAAAGTAAAGAAAGTGGACTTGGCCATAGCACTTTTGACTGGGTGGGAACTAGAGCCCAGTAATCCTGACTTCAGGTCCAGTATCTTTACTTTCTTCATAATCAATAATTTACTTTATCTTCTCTAAGGAGTTCTTACAAGTATTTATTATGGAAGTGCATGTGGTTACAAAGTTATGTGACTAATTTGTTAACATCAGAATCTCAAAATATTCCAATGTAATCTTCTAACTACTTAAAATTTGGTCTCCATTCAAAAGTCCCTTTGTGTTTTACACTAGCAATCATCTCCTCCTATCAATGCTGAATCTTCTGGAGTCAATTTTTGGCTAAAATGCAATATAGAAATTCTCATGCAAAGATAACTCATAAGATTTATAAAATGCTGTATGAAACTGATGATAGTGATGATGGAGGCCTACCAGAAACACAGCCCAAATCATCCACAAAGAAGAGCTTTTCAGAGTTTGACCATTATTTAATGAAAGAGCATCAATAGGTCTTTTCAGGAAAAGTGCTTCAGGTAGTAACTTAAATATGGAAGAAAAGAGATCTTTGGGAAAACTGATGACATTCCCAAATATATTTACTCCAAAACTGACATTTTATAATATTTCAGTAAAACTGTTAGTTGGGGACCAGATGTTATTGGGAAAAATGATGCCAAGAATCTCATCCCTTGACTCATTCTTTGTTTCATTCTAAGAGTTAACATATTGTTATATTATAGCCTATAGTTCGCTAAGATAAAGTTAAAGTGTGATAAGATAAAATATGTTGCTTTCTTTTTTTCAAAATACAGACTCAATGAGATCTTTTTCCTTCCTTCACTCTTGGGAAATTCGGGCCCTTGATTTTAAGTGAATTTATTCCAAAGTCTTTTTCTTCTTTTTGTATTTAGATAGTAGGACCTCTTCTACCCAGACAGGATTTATTAAGATGTTTATGGAGTGGTTGGTTGGATGGATAGAAATGGCTTCTCTGCCTTCTGGTGTGACCATAGCTAGACCAGCCTTGATCGACAAGCAATTGCAACATGCTTCTTCAGGATGCTTCTGAAAAGGCACGGTTTAGGACCCATGAGCCTTTCACTCAAAGTGAAGAAATTGGTACCACCTTTTAGAGTTTGTTTGCTGTCCTACCTCCACCAGTGTATAAAGAGATAGGACACTTACTTTGTGCCAGAGACATTTACTTTGTGCTTCTACGGTGCAAGCATTCAGTACTATGAATTTAGACTATCCAGAGGTTGTAAATAATTAAGGCATTAACATGTAGAATAGGTATAGTCCGATACGTAATTGTACAAAATGAAAGGCAAGTGTATATACAACAGATGCTGAGCCTTGAAAAAGAGAAAAGAAAGAAACAGAGTGATCCAGTGGGTTAGCACCAGCACAATAATGAAGGGCATAAAAAGGACAGGTGTCCCGAAGTAGGGTAGAGGCAGCATCATAAAAGGTACAGTGAATGTCCGGGTTGGGGTTTACAGGAGTTATGTTGAAGAACAGTGGGGCGTTAGGTCAAAACAGGAAAATCCTAGTTCTGTTTGGATTCCATCCCTTGGATGATAGCAACTCCTCAAGGAAACTATGTGCCTGCCATTTAACTTTCCTGTCAGTTGAGGTGGGTGTCTCTTGCAAGCAAGAGCAATACAGGATACAGCAATACAGGAAGGCACAGACTGAGGGGTTTCCAAATCTTGCTTTGGCCTACTCAGAGATGATCTACCAGTCTGGAGGGTATATCAGTTATCTACTGCTGAATCATGAAAAGCCATACAACCCCTGTGGGATAAAACCATAAGCTTTAATTTAGCTAACAAGTCAGCAGAGTTCAATGAACTGGGTTGGACTTGGCTGATCTTGGCTGGGCTGGCGTTTATGTCTGCAGATGATTGGCTGTTGACCCATTTAGGAAGACGAAAGGAGGGAGTCGGCTTTATTTCACACATCTCTCCTCTTGCAGCAGGCTAGACTGGGCATTTCGGCAGAAGCTAAGAGGTAACAAGTGCTATTTAAGCCTCAGTGTGCATCTCATTTGCTAGCATTCCATTGGTCAAGTCAAGTTGCATGGTGCAGCCCAGAGTCAGAGAGAGCATGACAAAGTTACATGGCAAATGGTGAGGAGAGAGATCTAGGCCCCTTAATGCAATCAATCACACCTTATAGTTAACAAGGCAGGGAAAGGATCAGTAGGTACAGTGGTGTGATCCATTCGACAACCTTCCCTAAAGCTTTCTTCTAACCTTGAACATAGTAGAGGGGAGGAGCTATATTATTTTTTAAGTGAGTTAGCTGAGCAACCAGCATTTTCCCAAGGCTGCCCTGCTCTATTCAGAATAAAGACGTGGGCAATAGGCCATGCTTGGATGCCTCCGACCATCTGCCAACAAAAACAGAAAAAAAATTAATTATGAATGGTGTCTTCCCATGCTAATCATTTATTGTAAAGGATTTCTCCAGCTTGTTTATAATAGCTGTTGCCTAAGGGTGCATGCTGTATAAATTGTCTGATTACAGGATACAGAGCACTTCTTAATAGGCCTCAGCTGATTAGGAGAAGGGAAAGAAATTAAAGAGGCCATTTCCCTTTAGGTATGCAAATACCTCCCAGAACAAAAGACACAGATATGATAGACCATGATGAAACACACCCTCTTTTCTTTTTACCTTAAATTATGTACCAGGCAAGGAGCAAGCTTCATTGCATGTGTCAGCTGAGATGTGAATGGTCTAGTAATTGAAACAATCCCGATGCCAGAAATGCATGTTAGACGTGGAGCTCAACCAGCTCCCTGGGCAGCCTGCAGCAAATAGGAGTGTGGTGCTTGGATCTCTTTGGATCGCTTCTAACTTCAGGGTAATTTGACTCTGGCTCGTTGAGCTAAATTTGTTTGTATCACGTTGGCCTTCTCATTTCTGAAGCCAGAATTTACATGTCAACATCTGGCAGGGAGGGCAGTTGGAAGGCAGACTGTGTTTGCAAAACAGTGCAAAACATAGAACTACAGTTAGGCTCATTTCTTCTCACTTCTCAAGCACACACAGGTTCACACACACACCTCATGGACATGTGCACAAACACATGTAGGTAGGATCCTCTCTCCCACATAGACTTTTCCTCTTCAAAGGCTCATTGGTGTATTTTTTTGAATGTTTTAATTATTTATTTGTGACATGGAGAAAGACAAACAGTGAAAGGGAGAGCTCCTGTCCAGGGGTTCACTCCGCAAGTGACAACACCAGTGCTGGGCCAGGCTGAAGGCGGGAGCTTAGAAGCCAATGCAGGTGGCCAGCAAGGGTAGCAGGAGCCCAGTCTTTGAGCATTATCACTACCTCCCAAGTTTTGAGTTAGCAGGGCACTAGGGAACTGTAGTCAAGAACTGGAGCCATGGGCCGGCGCCGCGGCTCACTAGGCTAATCCTCCGCCTTGTGGCGCCGGCACACCGGGTTCTAGTCCCGGTCAGGGCACTGGATTCTGTCCCGGTTGCCCCTCTTCCAGGCCAGCTCTCTGCTGTGGCCAGGGAGTGCAGTGGAGGATGGCCCAAGTGCTTGGGCCCTGCACCCCATGGGAGACCAGGAGAAGCACCTGGCTCCTGCCATCGGATCAGCGCGGTGCGCCGGCCGCGGCGGCCATTGGAGGGTGAACCAACGGCAAAGGAAGACCTTTCTGTCTCTCTCTCACTGTCCATTCTGCCTGTCAAAAAACAAACGAACAAACAAACAAACAAAAAACTGGAGCCAGGACTCCAATCTGATACAGGAAGCAACCTCTTTTTTTTTTTTTTAAGATTTATTTATTTATTTGAAAGTCAAAGTTACACAGAGAGAGGAAAGGCAGAGAGAGAGAGAGAGAGAGAGATCTTCCATCCGCTGGTTCACTCCCCAGTTGGCCACAATGGCCGGAGCTGCCCTGATCTGAAGCCAGGAGCCAGGAGCTTCTTCCGGGTCTCCCATATGGGTGCAGGGGCCCAAGCCATCTTCTACTGCTTCCCCAGGCCATAGCAGAGAGCAGGATGGGAAGCAGAGCAGCCGGGTCTCCAACTAGTACCCATATGAGATGCCAGTGCTTCAGGCCAGGGCATTAACCTGCTGCACCACAGTGCCAGCCCCAGGAGGCAATCTCTTAACCACTAGGCTAAACACCAGATCCATTCACAGGTGTTTTGAAGGGCTGTATTCAACACAGAGAACTGGCCCTCCACATCCACAGGTTCCACATCCTTGATTTCAAGCAAGCTTGGATAAAAAATATTTGTTTAAAAAAGTTGCATCTGTACTAAATATGTACAGGGTTTTCTTCTTGTCATTATCTTCTAAATAATGCAATACAGTAATTACTTACGTAGTGTTTGCATTGTATTTGGTACCACAAGTAACCTAGAGGTGACGTAAAGTAGATTTCATGCAAACATTGCATCCTTTTGTGGAAGGACTTGAGGATCTGCAGGCATTGGTGTGCACAGAGGGTCCTGGAGTCAGTCCCCCGAGGATGAAAGTACTGTGATTTCACTTTTTCCAAGGATGGAGGATGCACACATCTCTCTTCTTAACCAGTTGAAGGAACTAAGATACAGAGGTGCATGGAGCTATTGAGGGCAGTCACACAGCAAGGATTCTGTCTGTTTGAAGTCAATGCCCTAGACCCTGGATTCCAGGCACTTCCAACCCTGAATTATCAACGCCTGGGTGGGTGTTCCCTACTTCAGAGTTTAGCAAATCTCGAGTGCACCCTGTTAATGTTTCACCAGAACGCAATTCATTTTCTGTTGCTCCACAACAAATTACCCCAAAGCTCAGTGACCTAAAACAGCAACTGGTAGTATCTCGCAGCGTCATGAATGAGCAATCTGGCTTAGCTGCGAAATGGGGCTCAGGGTCTCTCACAAGGCTGCAAGCAGGTGTTGGTGGCCTCAGTCTCATCTGAAGTCTCAGCAGATGAAGGCTCTGCTTCCCGGCTCCCTCACACGATGGCTGGCGGGAGCCCCTCCTGAAGGCCACCCTCAGTTCCTTGCCAGGTGGCCCTCTCCATCAAGGCAAGTAAATCAAAGGAGCCAGCAAGTCGGAAGTGATACACTTGGATAACCTCATCTCAGAGGCAGCATCAGGGGTGGGTGTTGCAGTGCAGTGCTGCAAGCTGTCCCTTGCAACACTGGCAACCCACACTGGAGTCAGGGATGGAGTCTTGGCTGCTCTGCTTGCAACCCAGCTTCCTGCTAAGGCGCCTGGGAAGGCAGTGCATGCTGGTCCTCATATGTGGGCTCCCGCCACCCATGTAGGAGATCAGGATGGAGTTCCTGGAGCCTGGCTTCAGCCTGGCCCAGACTTGATTGTTGTGGTTATTTAGAAAGGGAATCTGCAGATAAAAGTGTGATCTCTCTCTCTCTCTTTCTCTCTCTCTCTCTCTCACTGTCACTCTCACCCTCCCTGTTGCTCTGCTTTCAAAGAAATAAAACAAATCTTTTAAAAAAGAGGTAGCATCATATCACATTGGCTGTATTCTGTTCATCAGAAACACGTCACACTCAATGGAAGTGGATTACGCACGGGTGTGAATACAGCAAGTGGGAACCTTGGCAGCCATGTTAGAAGGCTGCCGACCAGGAGACCCTTCTTGCATCATTTCCCATGAAAAAGCCTCTCAGTGAGAACTCTGCTATTTCCCATCAAATATCAACCCCAAGGCTGGGTCAGATTCTAAGCCTTCATTGCTATTGTGGTCCCCAATAATTCTATAAATGATTGATTTGTTTTCTCATCATTTGAGTTGATATTCAAATGTTACCTGCTCAAAAAACCATGTTTCAACCCCTGTATAAATTAGTCACTTATTTTCAGTCATTAAGTTGTTACCACTTGTATTATAGCATAGCCTTTAAGAAAAAATAAGCTGAGTATTCACTTGGTTTTATTATTATTATTATTACTACTACTACTACTACTACTACTACTACCACTAATTCCCTCTCTTAAAAATAAGCATCATTAGGAAAGAAAGAGATCTAAGGGCCAACATTGTGACTCAGTGGGTTAAGCCACTGCCTGTGATGCCAGCATCCCATATCAGAGGCCCAGCCACTCCATCTCTGATCCAGCTCCCTGCTAATGCACCTGGGAAGACAATAGAAAATGATCCAAATCACCTGGGCCCTTGCCGTCCATGTGGGAACCCGGATTGGGTTCCTGGCTCCTAGCTTCCACCTGGCCCAACCCCAGTCATCATGGCCATTTGAGGAGTAAACCTGTGGCTAGAAGATCCCCCCACTCCCACCTTTCTATTTCTCCCTTTCGCCCTCTTTGTCACTCTGCCTTTCAAATAGATAAAATAAATCTTTAAAGAGAGAGAGATCTGGCCTGTCTTGCTCAGCATTATATTCCTAGAACAATGCACACAGTAGGAGCTTTGCAAATATTTGATAAGTCGATGAACAAAGAAAATGAATGAATTCTATGGAAAATGACTCAAGAAAACCCAGTTGTTAATTTCAAAGACATTGCTGTCACTCCCCCATTCGCGGAGGACACTGGACCCTGCGCTGTTCTTTTTGCCCTGCCCCTTCCCGGGTTTGCTGCTGTTGCCCCATTCGCGGAGGAACGACGCCATCCCGGGTTAGCTGCCGCCCCCCCCCACCTCCGTGGAGGGGCGGCACCCCTGCCGCTTTCCCCGCTTCCGCGGAGGAGTGACACACCGCCGGCTGGCTCTCTCAGGGGCTGCTCAGATGTTCCTCAGATGTTCCCCCGTGCATGTTGTTTCTCTCCTCCTTTATAGTCCTCTTCCACCAACCCCAACTCTGCTGCCCACATGCCGAGCACACTGCTCTCCTCCAATCAGGAGCAGGATCAGCTCCTGCCGTTTATCAGTCAAATTGGTGAAGCAGCTGTGTCGAAGTTGTTTGCTCTCTCTCAGCGCCATATTGTGGGAGATCAGATGCATAGAATTAGTCCTAGCAGTTCCAGTAATTTAGTCTAGTCTGTTGCTCCCCACAATTGCTTACTTTCCAATGCCTCAGTTTCCCAATATGTAGCATGAGGAAGCATTCTACCTAGACTTTTTCTTTTTGCACAGGAAAAATTAAGGATAGCTGAGAAATATTTTAACTTTGATGTGCAAAAGCAGTATTTAACTATTATTTTGCATGGGTAATTACTTGCATCAGCAATTTTCAAGTCAAAAGTTGGAGGCAGCAAAATTTTAACAAAGATCAATAGAGAAATGACTGAGAAACAGCTTCATCACAGAATGACTTTGGGATCAGAATATCTCAGTTCTTGTTTGCATTTTATCATGGACTATGAGACCAAAGATCCATCCCATATCCTGAGCCTCACTGTCCTTGAGCTAAAACCAAGTACTTGAGCCAGCTGGTTCAACTAGGCTGACTACATTTTGCAAAGAAAAATGAAGTCCTTAAATGTATATGAAAATTTTTTAGGTCACTTCTGAATCTAACAGAAAATTTGAAACAGTATATTTTGAATGCATTTATTTTTCTGATACACAGCAATGGTCTCTGGACTCCAATAGAGAATATTTATAACTGAGATTGCTCAGAGAACCAAAAATGGAACCCAAAATCTGAAAGACAACTTCCAGATCTGAACTGAAAATGGAAACCCACAACTAATAGATAGATGGATGAATGAATAGGCAACTGAGCAGGTACTGTAAAATGTTAACATTGGAATCTCAGTGGTTTGGTATCTAGAAGTTTATTGTAAAATTCTTCTGACTTTGCTACACTCTCGTAAATTTTTGTAATAAAACATTAGAAAAAATGTATCAGCATCACTAGCACAAGGGCTCAAATCTTTGCTAATTGGACTTGGGTCCCAGTGCTCAAGACCCTCCTCTCCTAAGGTTGCACCATATCAGCCCATTTGCTAGACTGTCAGCTTGGCAGGCGTTTCATCCAGAAAGTGAATTTCAGAGGATAGTCTGAAAACTTCTAAAGTTGACAGAGGCATGTCAAGATGAGAAGTCTGAACAGCAAAGGAAGGGCTAGTGACAACATAGGTGCCTAGTCATGACCTTACGTGACCCCATGAGAACAGCAGTGCAGGCAAGAGATGGCCATCGCACAGACAAAAAAATAGACATCTTCTGGAAACGAGGAGACCTCACCAGGGTGGCACAAGCCACGAAAGAGTTAGGATTTGAACCTGGGTCATTAGATTCCAACTCTTGCATCTTTAATCCAATAAAAATAGTTCACTGAATTGTAATCATGTTCCAAATTCTGTTTCAGATGTTTTTCAAATACAACTCATATTTATCCTCACAGAAATTCCATGAAGTAGTAACTACTTTCATTATCCTCATTTTGCAGGAAGTGGAGGTCCAAAGGTTCATCATCTTGCCCAAGATCACATAGCAAGTAGAGGGCAGAGCTAGGACGTAAGTCTCAACAGGATCCCAAACATCTCGATCCTAAGAAAAAGTACCCTTGGTCATTGTCAACCCTCATTTAAATGATTCGATTACATTTCCAATTAAACCAAGTTCCCTATGTGCGTGTCTACAATGCACTTCGGAATAGCGGTGAACCCAACCTCTTTCATGAGTTTTCTCCTTTAACATCACTAGTACTGTACAAATACTCTATGGGTTTAAGTAGATTCATTAAAATCGCTGCAAAATGGAACCATTTAGAAACATGTTTGTTGACTGTATCTAATTACACTTCAAGGGAAAAAATAAATATGAAAAAAATTACTTGAGATCTAAAAACACTTTGCTAGTTGTGAAATTACTTCAAAAGCAAATTTTATTTGTGCACTCAATGTTCATAGCAACATCGTTCATGACAGCCAAAAAAACAAAAACAAAATAAATGTCTATCAAATGGTGAGTGGATAAACAAAATGTGGTATGTCCATAGAATGGGGTATTATTTGAGAATAAAAAGATATAAATGCCGATAGCTGCTACAACGTGGATGAAGCTGGAAAACATTGTGCTACATGAAAGAAGCCAGTTACAAAGACCATATATGGCCTGATTCTGTTTATATGAACAATCCAGAACAGGCAAAGGCAACCTATACAGTCAGAAAGTACATTAGTGGTTGCCTCCAGTTGGAGAGGATGAGGGATGGGGCTGCAACAGATAATGATATAGGACTTCTTGTGAGGGTGATGAAAACACTCTAACATTGATTGCGGTAGTGGTGACATAATTGTGAATACATTTAAAGCCATACTCTCTAAATGAGTGATTTGTAAGGCACGTGAAATACATCTCAACAAAGCTGTTAAAAGATAGAAATCTATTGTACAATGTGGTGACGACAGCTAATTACTAGTGCATTATATTCTTAAAATTGCCAGGAAAGTAGATCTTAAGTGTGCTTATCACAAAAAAAGAAAAATAGGTATGTGAAGCAGTAAATATGTTGATTAGTTCAATTTAACCATTCCACAATGTATACGTACTTCACAACAACATAGCACACATGATAAATACATAGCATTTTTACCTTTCATTTTCAAAAACAGAAAGAGCAAAACTATGCCAGCAACAAACAAACAAAAGATGCTGAACTAACACAAAGAATTAGCCAAGCCAGGAATGAAATTCGAAAATAATAATTTTTGTGACAGTATTTTTTAACTTTGAATTTTAAAATGTTCTTATACTTTTTATGAGAAAATATCTTATATATATCTATTATGTGTTTTGGTTTTAGATATTTTTGGACCTGAAAATGTAATTCATCATTTTTTAAAGCTGAATGAAAGCATTCTTCATTCTTGGATGGCCCTTCCTGCCAATTATTTAAAAAAAAAAAAAAAAGATTTATTTATTTGAAAGGCAGAGTTACAGAGAGGGAGCGAGAGACAGAAAGAGAGAGATCTTCCATCCACTGGTTCATTCCCCAGAGGTCTGCAATGACCTGGGCTGGGCTAGACCAAAATCAGGAGCCAGGAGCTTCCTTTGGGTCTCCCATGGGGGTAGCAGGGGCCTACGGATTTGGGCCATCCTCCACTGCTTTCTCAGGAGCGTTAGCAGGGAGCTGGATCAGAAGTGGAGCAGCCGGGACTTGAACGGATGCTTATATGGGATACCAGCGCTGCAGGCAGTGGATTATCCACTGTACCACAGTGCTGGTCCCCCTTTCTGCCAATTTGAAATGGAGTCATGTCCAAGCTTATTTGTGCCCCATACATATATGACTGTAAGGAATGCTTCCAGCCACCAGCAACTGAACCAAGACTTCCTGAACCAAGACTTGTACCTGTTCTGTCTACATAAATTCAATGTCTGTAGCAGAATTTCTAAGGGCCTCTCTCCCGATCTCTTGCTGCTATCATGGAGTTTATTTTCTATCTGCCTGTGGAGATGTGAGAAGTGCAAGTGTGAGTCCAAAAACAAAAACAAACAAACAAAGAAGCCTGGTTGTTCCCCCTTAAAGCCCGAGAGACAAGGCAATGTGGAGGTGGACAGTGTGGATGTCCCTCTGGTCTCCACCTTCCAACCACCAGCACCTGCTTTCCTTTACCCAAAGGCTTTCTCCAACAGCGAAGACACTCTGCCTCTGAGATCAGCACCACGAGGGAGCACGCCCCAGCCTGTGCCTCCATGTGGGCCACACTGGAGTACTGTCACCATTGCCTCCTGTACCACCCAGAGCAGGAAACTCCAGGGCCCACCAGAGCCATCAGATTACTGGCCCCTCTTGTGGGTGTTCTTTCTCGGGGTCACTTCTTGTGATGTTGAATGTTTTTAAAAGTTCATCTATTTATTGGTGTACTTTTATGTGCTTGAAAGAGTGAGAGGGAAAGAGAGAGAGGGAGAGAGGGATCTTCCATCCACTGACTCGCTCCCCAAATGCCAGCAACAACCAGGGCTGGGCCAGATGGAAGCCAGGAGCCAGGAATCCCATCTGGGTCTCCCACAGGGGTGGCAAAGACCCAAACACTTGGGCCATTATCTGCTACTTCTCAAGGTGTGCATTGTCAGGAAGCTGGATCAGAATAGAAGTGGGGCTTGATCCCGGGCGGCTTAACAGCTGCACCACAGTGCACTCCCCTGGGGTGGTGGATTTTATGTGCCCTCTTGGCCAGGCTCTTGGCAGAGCTCAGACATTTGGTCTGACATTCTTCTGGATGTTTCTCTAAGGAAGAGCGGCTGTGTTTGGATGAGATGTGAACTTAGATGGGTGGGCTTTGAGTAAAGCAGACTACCCTGTGTAAAGCAATGGGCCTCATCCAATCTGTAGGAGACCTGAACAGAACAACAGGGATTCCCAAAGAAAAGGGAATCTGCCAGCAGACGCCTCTGCACTCTGTCTGCAACATGGGTTCTTTGGAACACATGTGCATCATCAGCTCCTCCCAGTTCTCCAGCAAAGCACCCTTGGACTCAAGCTGCAGTTGTGAGTGGACGATTAGCATAGCGGTTAAGACACTTCTTGGGATGCCTGCAACTCCGAGTGGAGTGCCTGCGTGCAAGTCCCAGCTCTGGTCCTGACTTCAGCTTCCTGCTGATGTGCACCCTGGGAGGCAGCAGGTAAAGTACTTGGGTCCCTGCCACCCACGTGGGAGGCTGCGATTGAGTTCTTGCAATTCTTTCCAGAGTCTCTTCAGATCCTACAATCACCAACCCTCGACAATCATGTGAGTCAATCCCTTAAAATCTCTCTCTCTATCTATCAATAAAAGAGAGGCTACTTCAAAAAGTTTGTGGGAAAAGGAAATTAAAATGTAAGTGAAATTTATTTTGGTGTCTGCATAATTTTTGCATAATACACATTTTCCATGAGTGTACCTACATTGATTTCAAAATTTTTGCACCAAAATGAATTAATCATTCAATTCTACTTGCTGTGAACTTTTTGAAGTACCCCAGTGTTTAGATACAGATAGAGACAGAAATATCCCCACACTCTATTGATTCTGTTTCTCTAATACACATCCCCATTCTTACACTGGAATTTCTTGGGATATACCCTTAAATTAATCGTGCTTCCATCTCGGTCTCAGGTTCTATTTCTAGGAAAACCTAAATCAGAAGTCTTTTTTTTTTTAAGATTTTTTAATTTATTTATTTGAGAGGTAGAGTTACAGACAGAGGGAGAGACAGAGAGAAAGGTCTTCTGTTCCCTGGTTCACTCCCCAAATGGCCGCAACGGCCAGAGCTGCGCCAATCTGAAGCCAGGAGACAGGAGCTTCCTCCGGATCTCCCACATGGGTGCAGGGACCCAAGCACTTGGGCCATCTTCTACTGCTTTCCCAGGCCACAGCAGAGAGGAGCAGCCGGGACTAGAACCGGCGCCCATTTGGGATGCCGGCGCAGCAGATGGAGGATTAACCTACTGCACCACAGCGCCAGCCCCATGAGTCAGAAGTCTTGAGCATCTCGTTGAGAAAAGCTGTTTGATTGTGGGGGAGTGGGCCTCACATGCAAATCAGAAAGGTGAGCACTATCATTTGCTCTGTACTGATCAGGTACCATGAGCAAGCACTCGTCCTCCCTGCATCTCTGGGTCGTAGGCGTCACGGCTGCCCTCATTTCTCTGATGACAAAAGGGGACTCAAGGAGATCAGTGAATAGGGGATTGAATCCGAAAAGTCTGACTCTAAAGCTTGCATCCCACAGCATTTCTCTCTGCACCCTACCTTTTTATGTCAAGAAAACAAGAGATGGCTGCTTCATGCTGCATCTCCAGGAGGCAAATTCTGCAAAGCGATGGAAGGTCCAAGGAAGCTTCTGAAAGGTCACGGAAAAATGGGGCAGAAAGATAAAGCAAGTTTTCGGCAAACTTTCTGAAGCCCTTTCATACAACTGGACCGCAAGCTGGAATCCACACCTGTGGCAGCCTTTCCTGCAACGTGCCAATCTATCTGCTGCTGGGGGCAAAAATTCCTGCTTGCAAGAAAAGTGTGCCTTTGAAGGAGAAAAGAAAGGGAGAGAGCGACGTGGGGAAAGCGGAACGCACGAAAACGAACTTCAGGAGTCTCCTTGGAAAGCCAACAACTCTCGCAAAGCAACATTTTGATGAGTTAAGTGCAAATGAATCAAGAATAATGAGAAACACATGGGCTAAATTTTCCTTAAAATACACGAGTTTAAAAATTAAGAGGAAAAAGTGCTTGGGGAAAATGTGTTTTAAGTTTGAGCCAAACTGAAAACATTCACAAAATAGATGGAGATATTTGTTAGGCCCACAAAGTGCTGAGGTGGGGCTGCTGTGGAGAGATAGAGTGATAAGGCAACAGATCAAGCAGGGAGACACACGCGTTGGGTCATCCTCGGACCAAGGTTTATCCTAGAACCATCCCAGGCTCCCTGAAAGCTCTATGCGGGCTTTAGAGCGAGGCTGCATTGCTCTAAATTTATGTATTCAAGTAACTTGATGCACTGCACTCTGAATGTAATACTAATGAGTAAGTAATAATCATTCGAAAAACTGTGTGTTGAGAACATGAGATGAATGTGGTGTTCTTTTTTGTTAAGACCTTCAAATTCTGAAGTACCCAGTGTCAAGACACATGGGAGATGGCCTGGGGTTCCAGAGGCTGGCACAGTACGAATACTGAAGGGACTTTGTGCAGCTTGCCAACGTTTGGGTGGCAAAAATGACAGGTTTTGACAAGGAAGGACCACGGAGGTCCAAACCCCTGTTGGCAGCCGGAGCAACAATCCAGCCAGAGAGTTCTCTGGGAGGCCAGGGAGGACCTCGTTTGAGGACTTTGGCTGAAGGGATAATTCTCTTCTTCTGCACCACAATTCACAGCGCCTTTTCTCCCCACACCCATGAGAAGACGTGACGTTTTCTGTCAGTCTCCATTTATACTCTCAGATACAACGACCAAAGTTCTACTTTGTAGTGAAACAATCCAATTTTTAGGTAAAAGGAAAAATGGGGTTTTTGGAAATATTTACTCAGTGTTTAAAGCAGCCACCCTGATACCCAGTCTTGCCTTGAAAATTGCCTTCCAATGAACTTTATGACTTCCAGAACCATCACCTGTAGGCCTGAGTCTGGATCAGAAGCAAAGGCCCAGGAAGAGAAAAAACACTTGGCCTTGGAGTTCATGAGAATAAGCTCGGGATACCCCCTATTCTTTGCCAAAAAAAAAAAAAAAAAATGCAACAGGCTCTTTAATCACTGTTTGGAGTCATCTCCTTCCACTTCTGCTCTTACAAATGGTGCCCTGCAGGGAAGTCAGATTTCTTTGTGGCCAGTGTTGACTCCAGATGTAGAAACAGCCACGTGGAATCCAAGCACCTAAAACTAAGGAAGAGACACCCCTTGCAGGAAACATATACACTATTGGGTTTTCCAGCCCCAAGAGGGCCCAGGCTTGGGCTTGGGTACAGAGAACAGAAGAACAAGTTCCTAAAAAGAGACTCTTTCCCTCAACAAAGCAATAGGAAGACATATTTTTGACACTTATGCTGGCTTACAGTCAATAATTTAGGATGTTGTAGAATTCAAAGAACATGGTCTTTGGGGGTTTGGACCAAGTTCTTCTTTAATATCTAGAACTTCTTTAGAAAGTGAGATGCCTGGGCCGGCGCTGTGGCTCACTTGGCTAATCCTCTGCCTGTGGCGCCAGCATCCCATATGGGTACCAGGTTCTAGTCCTGGTTGCCCCTCTTCCAGTCCAGCTCTCTGTTGTGGCCCGGGAAGGCAGTGCAGGATGGCCCAAGTGTTTGGGCTCCTGCACCCGCATGGGAGACCAGGAGGAAGCACCTGGCTCCTGGCTTCAGATCGGTGTAGCTCCGGCGGTAGCAGCCATTTTGGGGGTGAACCAATGGAAGGAAGACCTTTCTCTTTGTCTCTCTCTCTCTCACTGTCTAACTCTACCTGTCAAATAAGTAAAAAAAAAAAAAAAAAACCAAAAAAAAAAAAACCTGAGTTTAACTGAAACAAAAACCCAGTGAAGAAACAGCTTTGCTTTTACATTCTGTCTACCACTGAGACAACCAAAGAAAAATCAATGCAAACCTGGGGATTTGAGGGAGAAAATGGGAAGAAAACTCTCACATGGAAAGAAAAATAAAAATGGTGTTTTTCAGGTTTCCATCTTAAAGACAGCATCTTAATTTTCTTTATTTTCAATTTTGTATTTATTTTAGTGTGAGAGAGAGAGAGAAAGGGGGGTACAGAGATAGAGAGAGAGTCAGCTCCCATCTAGTGTTCACTTCCTTATTGCCTCCCCACCAAAGCTGGGAGCAGTAAATTCAATCAGGTCTCCAATGTGGGTGCAGGAATCCAACTGCCTGAGCCATCACCACAGCCCCTCGGGATCTGAGATTAGTAGGAAGTTGGGGTGAGGAACTGGAGGCGGGTATTGAATTCAGATACCTGCTATAGGAGGGCCGCATCCTAATCAGTATCTTAACCACTAAGCGAATATCCTGCCCGAGAGTCTCAGATGCACTCAGCTCATTCTGTCACTTACCAGGTGAGCGAGCTAATTAACACCCCTGAGCCTCAGTTTTCTCTTGCTCCAAACGGAAACTGATTTGCAGGGCGCTGTGAAGATTAGACGTGAGATCGGTGATGCGTCTGGCACGTGGCACATAATCAGTAGTTGCAAGCCATTTGCTATCATTCCTGTTAACTACTAGACAGAGAACTTGAAGTTGACTCAACTACACAGAAGCAAGACATTTCAGTTTCCATCTGTCTGCGTATCGAGGCAGGTTGAGGGCCACTTCTGAATGTTCTTAGAGTCCCAGCAGTGCAACATGGACCTCCTACACAGGGACAATTCTGTGGACATGGGCGACATTTGTGGAGTGTCTTGATTGACACTTCAGTCATAAGAGTGCAATCGAATAAAGTCACTTCTCTCCCATGAATGGACACAGAGGATCCCTCTGGATCTCCCACTTGAAACGTGGAAAGGTTTGGGCTTTATGGAAATGAAAGTCATCCTCAAGATGCTTTTTGAGAGTCACGCCTGGTCCTTATGGGAATGACACTGCTGGAATTGATCCAGAAGGCATAGGAAAATATGAGCGCTCTTCAAAAAGTTTGTGGAAAGTAGAATTAAAAAGATAAGTTCATTTGGGTGCAAAAAAAAATGGAAACCCATACAATTTTTATTCTCCATGAATGTTTTGAGGTTCCTGCATGTGTCCCTTGAGCTCTGAAAGAGGTTAATGTTGAATTGTCAAACACGAGTCCTGGGACCACGTTCCCCTAAGAAACACTCATCACACGGGCTTCTTTAAAAGAGCTCATCCTGGCCCCTTTTACATGCCCCTTAAAGAACCTAGAAACCTCAGAGAGGAGACTACCACTGGGAACTAGTCCTACGTGTACCACATGTACTCTCCCTTTGCTGGGAGAGCAACTCAAGGGCTCCACAATCCAAGAGCTAGGAGGCTACCTAAAAACTTCCTTGGAACTAAAGATAAGTTCGTCCTAGTGCAAACTTGTTTGAACTCCCTGTATCGTTTTTGTTCCTAATGTGACTTTATCTGTAAACATTTTGAAGACTCTGGTGATGTCTTGGAGAGGGATGGCATAGGCAGAGCTGAGCCATCAGCAAATTATTTCTCCCTCCTGGTTTTGACCGGAAGTTGTTTGCTTAATGATTCTTTGGTGTTGCCAGTTCCTTTTGTTTTACTTTGTTTTTATACCCCGGATTCTCCAACTGACTGCACACTTGCGGTCATCTGAGTATCTTTATAGGAAAACAAAACAGTTAATTTTAGGGCCCCATCCCACCCTCTTTGGGATAGCAACCAGTGAGTGTCATGAGCCTATACTTACCAAAGCCTCCTAAGTTTGGGTCACCCAATCTGGCACAGCCATCATGGCCTGCCAATTGGGAGTCATCCCTGTATCCTGTGTCAGTGACATCATCTTCCGTCTTCTTGTCATCACAGACTCCATGACGGTTGAGGTGAGCCCCACTCAATAGCAACACTGGCGTGTGATGGCACCAAGCCAAAGGGAATTGTGAGGCCTGTAGAAAAAGGGATATTTTCTTTCTACTCTGCAGACTCCAATAGGAATAATCACGGACTTTCCCTACTTCCCATTAATTCTATATTTAGGAAACTAAAAGGAAAGGAAAAAAAAAAACCAACCACAACCTCACACACAACGGAAAAGATGGTAGATTCCTCATGGCTATGTTGGCAAGAGGCAGCACGAGTGGTCTTCTGCGGGGTGTTACCATTCTCATATTGGATTTTTCTTCTGGAAAGTAGGTGAGTTAATTTACCTTGGACCAACATTCCTACAGACAGGGTAGAGATCTGGTATCTTCATCACCACTAGAGGTAGAACATTCTGGGCATGCCAAGTTCCATGTATGCCTGCGAGCAGTTTTAAAAGGTTTTGGTTAGCTCCGCTTTTATTAGAATGAAAGCTTTTCACAAGTAAGAGGTTTTATGGGAGTTATTTTTAAAGTAATGTGTTTTTATTGGTTTCTGGTAAGATCAGTGAAATCACATGGCATTTTTAAAGAATTTTAAACCAAAAAAAGATGTTCAAACAACCTTCCTGAAACACAAAAGCCAGGAAAGTCAGAAAAAGAGGGTTAATGCGAAGACCAAAACAGTTCTGAAGAATGAAAAGGAGGGGTAAAAGAGCACTCCAAGTCAGGACAAAGATGGACCGAGTTCAGCACCCATGCCGTCACTCACTGACTGAGTAAACACTTGCATCTCCCCGTGACTCGGTTCTCACCACAGATACGGGATTCGTGACTTATTGTACATGAAAATTAAGCTTCTTAGAAACGAAAACTGTAGACATCAAAAGAATAAAGCAAAAGATGCCCGACAAGCCAATTGAAAGGCCTGGAAATTAGAATCGCAGACCTGGAAATCACAGAAACTCCCAGCTGGAGTTGCCTGCCTTTTCCTCCCCCTCCCCCTCCTCGTCTTTTGTCTTTCTCTTGCTGTCTTTTTTCCTGATTACTAAAGTAATAAAGACCTAAAGGTCATGGAAAATGGCACTGAAAGATAAATATATTTTTGTGCCAAACATTTTTAAATCCATGCATAATTTTTTTCTTATTGCACATTTTCCCTAAACAATCTGAAAACCCCTCATGGGCCTATATGTTTGCAGGTACATCTAAGGCAGCCATAAAGCATCCTCATTCTTTAGTTGAGAAAACAAGTCAGGAGAGAGAAGGACTAGGCCCAGAAACCAGATATTTCAGAAACTCTTCATTCACTTTGTAATCATTGCATACATCATGTGGCATGTGTATTTACTACACACTCATATGCATATGCTTGCGGATAATTTATTTTCTACTCCCTTGTTACGGTCTGAACTTTGGTGCTCTCCAAAATTCATGGTAGAACCCCATTCCCAGTGTGATGTTACTACAAGAAAGAGCCCTTGGTTGGTGATTAAGTCCCGATGAGTAAGATTGGTGACAGAGTCACTTGGTTCCATATGAAGAGGGAGAATGAGCCCTCATCAGACACCAGGTCTGCTGATGCCTTGAACTTGGACTTTCTAGACTCCAAAACTGTGAACAACAAATTTGTTGTTTATAAATTGCCCAGTCTTAAGCATTTTCCTGTAGCAACTTGAACAGAGTGAGACATCTTTACAACGCATAGTCACATGCACTCATGCCTACTCATGCCTGTACCATATAACAAGCGTCATGAAGGAAAGCACTGTAGACCAGCTTTCTAGCATTTACCATGTGCTCAATAAACACTGGAATGATTAAGTGAATGAATTTCTTTATGATACTCTTTTTGTCAAACCATGGTAGTCTCATAACCTTTTGATACAAGTGAGCAAGTGGGTATATTTGTTAACATGATATAAAACCTGGAAAAGGAGTCCTCAGAACTCTTCCATGTAATTATAGAAAACAGTTGAAGAGTAAATACCCACCTGTCCCCTGGAAAGGATGACATTATGGCAGAGGAGTTTTCTAGGAAGAGAACTTTCCAAACTTTTAAAGACTGGGGTATCAGTTCTTTCTATGCCAATAAAGTTGAGTGCATTTTGGACACCGGACACTCCCAGAGAGGACCTTGGCATTACCTGTACTATTCTCCATTGAGTTGTATAAGTGTTAAAATGGGAAAATAATTTGGAGAGGAAAAAAAGTTTAAAATGTCATAGACATACAGAATTTATATTTAAGAGAAGAAACTTTCTTAGACTACTTCTCTTTCCCTTTAGATACAATGCAATGGAGTTGAAGATGTAAAACTGCTTTCACAAAGCATGACCCTACCTCACTGTGGATTTTTGTTGCTTCCATAGAGCACTCTACTGCTTTAAGTGGGTCTTTAAAGAGGTGATCTCCCTTTATAAGGTCTCATGAAGGGCTCCGTTCATTTCTTAGAGAAGTGCATCACCTTCAGCTTCGAAATGCCACCTGGTTCCATCCAGATTCGCTTTCAAATATGGGACACAACATTACTAAGAACAAAAAAGGTTTCTCACCTTGACACAAACTGAGAAATGGAAAAGCTGAGTCTCTGGCTGCCATTGCTTGGAGATAATTTAATGGATAAAAGATTAAGCAGTGTTTAGTATACTTGACCACCTACCACTGGGCATATAGTGTATGTACCCTATCTCTTTCCTTTTGCATAATGAAACTTTCCATTATTTTCCTCTGTTACTAGATTTGCTCCAAATAGTCATTGATGATGTTCACCAAATGTGTCCAACTGTTAGCCTCCTGTGCATGTTATAGGACTATACTTCTTGGTCTCCTACAGTTGTGTTAAACCATCTACCTGGTTCCCAGCCACATGGCAGAGTACAGAAAAATAGAACAAAGTCCCAGATAATGCAAAATCAACATGCATAAAATTTTAATTTTGATGTTTTATAATGCTAGAACTTTGAAATTTTTGTTACTGTGACATAACCCAGCCAGTCAAGACTAAGACATATTGGAAGGATGTAGAATATTTCCATCAATTGTTTATTACTTATACCCATAATACATGATCCCACAACCTAATGATTAACAACAACCACCAAATCAATTGCTCATTGTTCATAATTCTGTGGGTCAGCAGTTTGGATTGGGCTCAGCTGAGTGGTTGTTCTGCTTACTTCACCCAAGTCACTCCTATGTCTACAATTCATGAGTGTATCAAGTGGGAGCTGGTTGGTCTAAGGGTCCTCTGCTGAGACAGGCCGTCCCTGCTCCATGTATTGTCACTCTCTAGTAAAATTTCCCAGGTGTGTTTCCTTGAGCCTGAATATAGCAAGAGAGAAAGAACAGAAGCCTAAATTCCTTGACGGCTTTGATTAAAACAAACAACAACAATAAAAAAAACTTCCACACTTTGTTGATCAGAGCAAATCTCTAGTTCAGAATCAAGTGGATGGGAAAATAGACTCCACCTCTTGACAAGAGGAACAGCAAAATCACATTGGAAAGTCATATAGGGATAGAAGAAAATTGTGACCATTTTTTTTTTTTTTTGGCCATATACCACAAGATCTCATGGCTAGAACGTTGGCTCAAAATGTTTAAATATTCAAATAGCATTTGTCTGGCAGGTGAGAAAGTGCATATCATCAACCAGATTTTGCTTACATTAACATTAACTAAAGAGCCCAGTGCTCTTACCACCTGCCCACAGAGAATTAGCATCACCCAGTCTCCAAGACAATTCACGACCTCTTTTCAGCTAGTAGCCTCCCCACCTCCCAAGATACCTGAGCCATCTTATATGTCATCATTTATAGAGTAGTTTTTAAAAACAGAGTTGAGAAATTGGTGTGGGGCATGTGTTTGCTGTAGCAATTGAGCCATGACCTTGAACACCTGCGTCCATATTGGAGAGCCTATGTTCAAGCCCTAGCTCTGCTCCCAATTTCAGCTTCCTGCTAATGTGCATCCTGGAAGGTAGCAGGTGAAAGGTCACATAGCTGGGACTCTGTCACCCAGGTGGGAGGCCCAGATGGAGTTCCAGCTCTTGGCTTTGACTTGGCCCAGCCCTAGCACTAATGTTGTAGGATAGTTAACAAGCACAAGGAAAATCTCTTTCCCTCTCTCTCTTCCTCTCTCTCTGCCTGTGTGTGTGTGTGTGTGTCTTTTCATCTCTCTGCCTTTCAAAAAATAATACATGCATGCATACAGATTTTTTTTTAAATTTCTTTCTCTAAGGAAGATGACTTGGAAAAGTCATAAAAGAATCCAAGTCTCCTGCTTCATTGAAGTGGGTTGGAAATCCCAACATCTCTCACAACACAGGGCAACAGTTGATGACTGAAGACAAGGAAGGCCAGGCGGGAGATCTGGATATGTGAAATGGACCAAAGAACTTTTTACGAAAGTGAACAACTGATGAAAGTACTGATGAGTAATAATAGTGATGACATACTGAATACTTACTATTACTACTGTTGATAGCATTAAAGGCTAAATATAGCACATACTTTTCTAAGGATGAAGTTATATCCTTATCAAAACAAGAGATACATGAGCAAACATTTAGCCTAGTGGTTGTAAGATACCTGCATCATCTATCAGAGTACCTGGGTTCAATTCCTGATTCTGACTCTTATTTCCTGCTTCCTTTTAATGTGCACCTTGGGAGGCAGCAGCTGATGGCTCCAGTCTTAGAGTCTTTATCATTCTTGTGAGAGACCTGGATTGAATTCCTAGCTCCTGGCTTCAGCTCAGCCATTGCAGGCATTTAGAGAGTGAACCGATGAGTGGGAACTCACTTGCTCTCTCTTTCTCTCTCTGCCCCTCAAATAAATAAAAAAGAAAATAAATATGAAGAACTTCAGACAAGTGGTAGAAGGTCTGTGGAACATCTCTGGTTACTTGCTTTTATAATTTAAACCTACTGGAAAAGGATAATTACCGAAGCAAGAAAACCACAAAGTGTTGGGGAGACAGTCGGGACCACATTACCCCAACCCCATCATGAGGCTCACAGGCCATTTTACCCTCACCTGGAGCCCCTCCCAGCTAGTGCTCGAGTCCAGAGCTTTTACGTCTTGTCTCCTGGGTCTCTGGGCTATGGTATCTCTACCTTCCAGGGTTAGGAGAAGACATGGTGGGTGGTGAGTGCGCAGGACTGGGCACCCCAGGTCCTGCCTCCGGTGGCTACCTTAGAGGAGGCCATGTTCTGGGAAGCACTGGAGGACAGAAGACAGTCCCTCAGCCGCATCACCCTCAAGACTGCAGGGAGACTGAAAGTCCACTGCGCTAGCAGCGGGAATGTGAGTGAGAATCCCCAGGGCAGGTGGACGGATCCGGCTTCAAGAACTTCCAGAATCTGCAAGGGCAGCTGGCCTCCGCACTGGCTGTGAAGATGGTAGGAAAACAGTAGAGTCGCCCTCCGCAGGTCTGCTG